TTATAATTTTTCACCACTATGCACAATACAATATGAAGAGTTAGAATGATGCTAGAGCTAGTCATGAATATGTCGGTTACAAATTACACAAACTTTCTATTTGTGGAATAAATTTTTTTTCTAAATATTTAAATTTATTCACTTGTTGAGGTACACGAATGACAAGTTAGTGTAGTTTGTGACCAGGATGTTTGTGACTAGCATTTCTGTAATATGACTATACGAGTGTCTTCATGTTAGAGTATAAAAACTTTTCTTGGAACACAGCTACAAGTTTGAGCGTTTGATTGAATCGGTTCCTCGACATGGTATTGGAACATTATTGACGAAGATATCACGAGCTCGAAACTCACTACTAAGTCACTCTATTTATAAAAAATTAAGGTTTTACATACATGCATTTAAATTGTCACTATGGACACCATCATTACACAACAATTAATAAACCCTCTCAAAGTTTCAATAACCACAAGTTTGAATAGAGGTACAAGAGGCACAAATTCGAGAACATAAACATGTCTATTGGAAGGAAATAATTAAAGACAAGGCTTTTTAGAATTTTTTATTACAAACGTTAAACTAAATATGACCGATCCTATTTGAGGAAAAGTGATATCTTTAAGTCTCATTTGCGTAAATTACTCCTTTCTTGATTTAATTGCGTTCTAGCATAGATATGATGGGGCACTTGATGGACATGCATCCACTTTCTTCATCGGAATCAATTATATTTGGTGACTGATATTTTTCCATAAATCATGAATGGGAATTAAAGAACACACACTTGCTGCCTAATTGGCTTGTCCATGATTGAAAAGTGACGAGAGATATTGGCAAGCTGGGACTCAATAAGCTTTTGCCTCATAGAATCTTGATGCTAGTAGTTAGTTGGGACAACATTTTTGAAAAGATAGTGTATAAAGGGAAGAGACATGCATGCATTATATATTCCTGCCTGCCATATACATATATTGTTAAAATTTTGACGGGCTGAGAACAAAGGTAGAGTGTTGGATAAAATTATCCATTTGCATAACTCAAAAGCTTAACCTAATAGGTAGGATTCCACCCTTCTAGATAGAAATATTTGCACTAAATAGCACTAAAACTTAAGTCATTTCAGTAAATAGCACTTAAATTGTTTTATTTTCTAAATAACACTTAATAATGTCCATAAGGAGAAATGATGACCAGTGATGACAAACATTTACCTGAATAATGACAAATAGATAATGACTAAAAGTGTTACATTGGAAAAAAATACATATGATGCTATTTAGAGATAATCATTATGTTTTAGTGTTATTTATTTAGGTAAATTTCCAGATAGATATGCTAGTAGTATTCATCTTTATTTTTCAATGTGGGAACTCCAACACTTCCCTTCAAGTACTAAATAGATTGACCTAGTTAGCATTTCGATTTGGGAACTCCAAACCACGGACAGGTAGCTCATTTTGCTAAACTCACGTCCAAACAACCATGAACAACCAAACCCAGACCTGCTCTGATACCATGTTAAAATTCCGGCGGGTCAAGAACAACAAGTGGAGTGTCGGGTAAAATTAACTACTTGTATATAAAGTTGGAATCCACTATTCTAACCCAATAGCTTAAGCTAATAAGTAGGGCTTCACCCTTCTATATATGCTAGTAATATTCACCTTTATTTTCTGACGTTGGAACTCAACATATATATACTCCCCTGCCCTCATTCCAAAAGACGACCCTAAACTTTAATTTTAACACTTATCTTTTTTTTGTTTGTTTCAAAATAAACTATACGCTCATTTCATTTTCCTTCTTTGTGAAGGAATATCGCGCGGCGGGCTCACAACATAACATTTCTTGCTATCTCTTGTAAACGAATATCAACTTAACTTTTTTTTTCGGAATTTCGTTTTATAATATCAAAGTGTAAAGTTCATTTTGGGACAAAGAAGATATGATGGAGTAAATATTTTGGTAAGGCAGGTGGTAACTGGTAAGGGTAGTTTTAATATGTTTGTGGGAGGCCCTTTACTTCTTTTTGGCAGCAGCAACTGGTCCCATTAAAAAATAAAACTAAGGTTCCATATATGAACTAGCTCTATCTTACAAGTCTAGCTAGCTAGGCATAGGAATAGAGGATGGGTAAATAATGGTGAGTAGGGTACTCAAATATAACTTTGAAAATTGAAGGTTATATATGCATGCATATCATGATAGGCTAGTGTTAGTTCTTTCTTCTGATCTGCAGGCACTATGAAGAATTGAAGTAGAAAAAATGATGATGTGAATGATCAAGAGAATAAGCTTTTACCAGAGGTTATTGGTTAATTGGGACAACATATTTTTGAGGATAGGATGATGATGATATACTAAGAATTACTATAATAATGCATGGCAGAAATGTAAGTAGTGGATTGAGATTGAAGTGAAAATCCATGCCTGCCATTTATTTATTCTTTTGTAAGGTGGTAACTGGTTAGTTTCTATATATGCATGTCTCCAACTCCAATTTAACTCTAGGAGTTAAGGTCCCCCCTATGTCCATATACTTCCTCCCTCCGCCAAAAAAAAATTTTGATAGTTTGATTTCACAAAATTGAAAAATATAATTTAAAAAATATGGTTAGAATTTGTTTAGAACAGAGAAAACTATTGGTATTCACATATTGATGATTATCAAAAAAGACAATAAAGACCTTATCTTAGCGTGCTTGATAAAATTTTAATGGTGTACTATAATTTTGAAAACACCAACAGGCTTTATCGTCAGATAATTTTTTCAAAACGCTAACTTATAACGCTGAAGCCAAACGGGACCAAGCAAAGTTAAAATTCTTTTTTGGACGTCCAAAATTGAAAAGTAAAAAAAGTTATGCGATCGAAGGAGTATTATTCTAATTACTCTAGGCCAACCGCGAGAGAATATATATGTTGCTCATAATATTTTTTTTCTTTTCTCTTTTTAAACAAATTCTTGTTAATTACACATTTTTTAGTTCTTTAAAAATTACGTGAAATCAAATTCTGAAAAAAAAATCAATTTCTTGGGGGATGAAGCATTTTAATTTGCTCACATGCACGATTTGGTCGGTAAAAGAAACGTACCTACTTGTATTATTTCATGTAATACAATTATCAAGAGTAACATAAAAATCATTTTGGAGTTTGGACGTGTTTAAAAACAATTGAAGACATGAACCCTTCTATATCACGGAGTTTACTCGAAGTCTAAATGTAATGCATGCCGCTTGTTAACAGATATTCTCACGATTTCAATGTCACATGCATTTGGGGCAGCACCAATTTCAAAATTCAAATCTAATGGTGACTAGGAATAGTGAACTCAAGACGCCAATAGTGAGGTTAGATAAGTAAATTAGAATAATTAATTCTGTTTATTTAGTTCTGAAATCATGGAGAAATAATATTGAGATTTCAAATTATTACTCCTTATTCAATAAGTGATAGGTTATCGAGGTTGACCAGCAATAGGGTTCGTTGGGGGTGATAATGGTAGCCCGTGACAGGGGTAATAATTGACGATTGAAAAAGTTGAGATATCACTATCAATATTTTCTGAATTTAAGAGATATCAAAAGGCTACATTTGGGAGATTAGTGATCTAGATATATCAAATTCAAGGGGTAAGTTAGGGGGTGTAACTTGTAAGCTTATAGGAGAATTAGGGTGGTATATCACTTCGAAATGGAACGTAGACCCGTAGGACCGAGAAATATAATAAGAGAAATTTACCTAAATAGGACTAAAACATAATGAATTTCCCAATATACCATATGTTTTTATTTCCCAATGTAGAACTTTTGGTCATTATCAAGTAGTCACTATTCAAGTAAATGTCTAGCATTACTGGACATTATTCCTCCTACTAGGTCATTATTAAGTCCTATTTAGGAAATAAAAAAGTTTAAGTCCTGTATTAGGAAAGTCATTATGTTTTAGTCCTATTTAGTATAAATTTCACATATAATTAATGGACCAATGTCAAAAAAAAGACATTCAAGGAAAGAAATCGCATGTGTTTTGATGCTAGAGATAGAAGTCAAATTTCACTAAACAAATATTACCTCCGTTTGGAAAATAAGTTCTCATTACAGTTCACGATATACAAATGACGTGACTATATATATCATATTCGTAACAAAACTAACGAAACAAAGAGGATAATAGTTAACCCTCTGTAAATAGGGTATGAAAATTTATTACCAATGTCAAATAAAGACATTCAAGGAAAGAGATTGTGTTTTGGTACTAGATAATTTAAACTTTTGCCAAATAAATATTACGAAAAATAAGTTCTCAATATAGTTCACGATATACAGTTGATGCGATTGTATGACTATATCATATTCGTAACAAAAATAACGAAACAAAGAGGATAATAGTTTAGGATATGAAAATTTATTTTTGGGAAGGAAGGAATATTACATCCTAAAGATGATGTTAATTATGAATCAAATAGTGGAATAAAAAAGGATTGGAGGAGCACTTGTTTGGAGGATCTAATAAATTAGGTATGGGGCAAATAATGTTGAGATGGGCACATAGAATTATGTTGGGCAAAACACATAGGCTCTCTTACGTTTGATACATATAACTCAAACCATAAAATTAAAATTTGAAACAACAATTTCAAATATGCTTTAAAGTAGCGTAGAAACATATTGATTTGGCAATAGTAGTGCCGAAAATAAATTAAAAATGGAAAATTTAATATCATAAAATTTCAAATTTTAATTCAATTCCAATAGAAGCAGCAACTTGGGTGCGACTTGCGGGGAATCCCAAATGCTGGCAACCAGCAACGAAATGACGTCCGCGCCACAAACAAAACTTGTGGCCACAAAACTTTTCCCTTTTGCTGACATGTCCACTTCCTTCTTCCTCCCTCTCCCCCCCTTAAAGACCGCAGACAGAGAGAGAGACAAATAAAAGCCACAGAAAAGTGATTCGCTGTTCTCACATAGTAATAAAAAGAAACAAAAGGCCAGCTCGGAAATACCGGCCGGAATGTCGGTAGCTAATAAAGATACGGCGGCGGCGATCAAGCTCTTCGGGAAGACCATAGCTCTAACCCGCCCACACGACGACGAGGTACGTATTTCTTTCTTTTTAATATATAGTACATACACAACAAGTTTTATTTATATATTGATATTATAACTGGTCAGAACATGTCAGCAGAAGAAGTTTGGGGGAGTCAAGAGGAGGAGGAGGGCGGCGAAGGGAAAGAAACGCCGCCGTGTGATAAAAGGAAGGCGGCGGGGGTGGGGGCCAGGCTTCCATGCCCGCGGTGCAAAAGCATGGTCACCAAGTTTTGCTACTACAACAACTACAACGTCAACCAGCCACGTCACTTCTGCAAGAACTGCCAGAGGTACTGGACCGCCGGAGGCACCATGAGGAACGTCCCTGTCGGTTCCGGCCGCCGCAAGAACAAAACCTCCTCCTCCTCCTCCTCTTATTTCCTCCGCCGCATTATGTTCTCAGATCACCACCACCAGCCCATTCACGCCGCCGCCTCACCTTTCTACGGCGCCGTGTTTGGGCGCCCCCGTTGGCTCTCTGCTCCAATTTCTCCCGCGGCGTTGGGAAAAAATTACTGTACCATTATGGACACTGATAATTAGATAATTAATTAAGTTTAATCATTGGTGATCATATATATGATATCAACGAAACGTTATTAGGTGATTGATGCACAAGATCGGCCACAAGAGGTCGATCAGGTAAAGAAAGCGTATGCATGCTTCTCATGCAATTTCATTGAAGAATTTTCTTACTCTACATAAATTGGGGTGAACTTTGCTTTTCTCATAAAGTTGGTCTTTTTAGGGAGAACTTCATAAATAAGAACAAAAGATATTGAAAATATGAGCTCGTTCCTTGACATTATAAGTGCTTTAATAACCAAAAGGTCACGATTTTAAACCTCACAGCTACCCAATTTTATAAAAAAAATAATTTCCATGTGTAAGGTTTGAGCAAAAAAATAAAAACTTTGTTTGCATGTCACGGGGCGTGTTAGAATATAAAACTTATTATGAGCTGTTAAAATGCTGGTGGGCCGAGAATAACGGGTAGAATATCGGGTAAAAATTAACCAATTGTATATAAAGTCGGGATCCACTATTCTAACTCAAAAGCTTAAGCTTATAAGTAGGTTTCACCCTATACATGCTAGTAGTAATCATCTTTATTTTCTGATGTAAAAACTCCAACATGAGCCTACAGCTACAAGTTTGAACTTTTGATTTACTTGGTTTTTTGACACTGTGGTTTACCACTACACTGCCACCACATTGCACCATCTTACCATGGTTTTTTGACACTGGTTTACCACTACACTCCCACCACATTGCACCATCTTACCATGGTTTTTTGACACTGTGGTTTACCACTACACTGCCACCACATTGCACCATCTTACCATCACCATTCACTAGTTTATATTGGCTTAATATGTAAGTATATATGTACACTCAAACTTGTTGAATATATTAATCATTTGATATATTTAATATTATATACTCCCTCCGTCTCAAAAAAATGGGACGGTTTGACTTTTTGAAAAAATTAAGGTAGGGATATTTTGGTATTGACTTTCCAAAAATACCCTTGATGTGATTGGTAAAAGTAGGATGTGATGGGTAGATTATTAGAAAAAAGGTATGATGTGATAGGTAGGGTATGAAAAAGTAAGGGGTAAAAGTGGTTTTTAATAGAAATGTAACGGACTTTACGGGACGCAGTTTTTTCTAAACGTAACAAACTTTTTGGGACGGAGGGAGTATTATATACTCCCTCCGTCCCATGAAACATGAGACTTTTTTTTTAGGAGGAATTTAAGGGGAGTGTATTTTGGTATTGAATTTCCAAAAATGTCCTTTGATGTGATGGGTAAAAGTATGATTTGATGGATAGATTATTAGTAAAAAGGTATGATGTGATAGTTAGGGTATGAAAAAGTAAGGGATAAAAGTGACTTTTTAATAGAAATGAGAAGTGTTTTGTGGGACGGATAAAAAAAGAAAGGAGAAAGGTTTCATGGGACGGAGGGGGTATTATAATTATGGTTGTTACCTGTTAGAGTTATTATCAAATAATATTACTTTATATATGATTAGCCATTCTAAAATATATTCATCCACCTAAAAATACATACTTTGTATTCTTCTCGTATTCATTCAATCAATAAAGCGTTACTTATTACGGAGTATTTTACAAAACTTCTATTTGGAAATGAAAACAAATGACACTCATATTTTGATATTTTGATGATACTTTACTCAGCTCCCATCTATGGACACTTCTTATTTTTTAAAGTTGAACTGCAACTCTTATCTCTTTGGTTGAAAGTAAGAAAATGAGAAGAAAGAAACAGAGGTGAAAGAAGGGAGAGGCTAGAAATTGGAAATTTTTTTATTTTTTTAATATTCTTAGGTTCATTCCATAGATTTTCATAAATTTTGAGTTGGGTTAGACTATAAAAACATTTCCTCTTTTTTACATCATCATTTCTTAAAGACTCAAACCTTTCCACTTCCTTAAAGATGCTCTAACTACTAATGGATTTATCGTCTCTAGGAGTGAACCCAACATTGTAATCAAGAGGCACACACCTTATACTCCATCCGTCCCAAAAAGTCTGTCCCGTTTCGAAAAAATTGTCTCTTAAAGTCCGTCTCATTTCTATTAAAAAAAATCACTTTTACCCTTTGCTTTTTCCCCCTACCTATCACATCATACTTTTTTTCTAATAATCTACTCATCACATCCTACTTTTACCCACCAAGGGTATTTTTAGAAAATCAACATCAAAATATCCCTCTTTATTTTATCACTTTAGTCAAAATTGGACAAACTTTTTAGGACGGAAGAGTATATAACAAAAAAACAAAAAGATAATCGTTTTTAAAAAATACAACACTGGATTGGGCTTGCCGCTTGTGTAATGCAGGTACTTTTTAAAAAGCCCATCGAATCCAGCCCCACTTATGGGCTGATTCCAAGAGTTACATAGTTTTTTATTTGAAAGCCCAGTACAGTTCTTTTTTAGACAACAAGCCCTAAAATAAGCCCAGTACATAGTTTTTTATTTGAAAGCCCAGTACAGTTCTTTTTTAGACAACAAGCCCTAAAATATGCTCGATGGTCTCCTGAGGAAATGTTTGACTCAAACCGAAAAATTTGGGCGGTTCGATTTTTTTACCTCGGTTGCACGGTCGGTTCGGATAATATGCTCACTCCTAGTCTCCTCCCACAAATAGTTGGCGAACAAACACGCCAATGTATGTGTTGGGTTAAGGAACCCAGGGCCTAGGAGACTAGGCGGAAGAGTATCGAACTAAGTCAAGAGTGCACCAGTTGGGAATCGAGAGTAGTAAGTATTATTGTGTTGGTTAGAACGTAACTCCCCCCTCCTTTGGAAGGGGTTTTATATGTGAATTACAACAAAGGGTTCCCGACCGTTGGTCCGGAGTCCAACGGTCTGGGCCCACTAAGATTGGGTTGTTCACTGGCGGCGCCTAACCACATCATTATCCCTAGGGTTGCTATACAAAATAGGTTACAAATAGGGTGGCTAGAACAACTCTGCCACAGGTATGGCAGGGGTCCAATTGTGGGCCCCTTGATCTTGACTACTTAGACAGCTCCCATGTCTGGACCTAGTCTGCTGGCGCCCCGGGCCGAGGCCGAGTGCGTACAATCTGTTCCCTGAAGTCCCTTGGTGGAAGGCTGGCCGGGTGTGGCCCGAGGACAACCGACCCTGCCGAGGCCGAGCGTGAACTGTTGCAGAGGTGGCCTTCCTAGGTCTTCAGATTATTCTTGCTTTAGTCCAGCTAAGTGGGCCTTAGCGTGGTTGGGCTGGGCCGCTTTCCTGTTGGGCCGGATGCCCCAATTCCCGGGTATCCATCAGTATGATTGTAAGAACGGATGCTTTGTTGTTTCTCACTAAAATGAGAAGGCTAGTATGATAAAAAAGAACAAACATTTTAGTTGGTAAGCAAGAACACAACAAAGCATCAAAAGTTGTTTCTAACTAAAGTGGGAGGAATTTAATTTTTCATCATCTTAATACATTTTGCCTTCTCATTTTCTTTTCCTTCTACTTTTCTTTTATTTTCCTCTTTAATCAAATAAGAAAAATATTTTCCTTCTCATTTTCGTTTCTTTTTTCTTCCAAATTCCTTGAATCAAACACAATATTAATCTTATTTATTCAAATTCCCCTCACTCAAAAGAGACTAGCTAGCACCATTAAAACTTTTTTAAAAAACACCCTTAAAATGTTCCCCTTTGAAGTTCGGTCCGCTAATGAAATGAACGGGTCAACGGAGCAATAGAAGCAAAGCCAAAGTTTTGCAAAGGGAGCAACTCAAGAGAGAGGAGGTGTGGGAGGGATGCATGCCGAAGGCTAGAAGAGGATAGAAGAGAAGAAAGAAGAGAGAGGGGGAGACAAGAAGAACTTCAGGGCGGCGGTCGGTGGCCAGTTGCCGCTGATTCCCATTTTCTATCGGTGGGGCGGTGAATACCAATCGACATTGAAGCCACGTCGGTTTACCAAACCTCTACCGTCCACACTCAGCGGCCTAACCATTTTTGCAAAAAATAAGGGCGGTTTGATTGACCCTGGAGGGTGGGGTAGGTGGGGTGTTCTGAGAGAGATAAAAAGAATGAGCCCCATCCCCGAGGTTTCTTCAGACCCGACTGGACGGTCACTGAGAGAGATAAATTTGACTTTAATTGAAGATTGGTTGCAAAGAGTGAGGTCGTACATGGTACTTGCAAAAATCATATACTTAGCGTAATTACCTCCAACACAGTTGTGAGAATAAAATTGGGTCAAGGGCACGTCAGAATCACAATGGGTCACGGGCCTAAAATCATCCTCTCGTCTCGGGCTCTGTGATGAAAGACCTTCAATAAACTTTAAAACCTGAAAGAGAAAAACGCAAATTTTTCACTTTAATTTTCCATCACCACTCGATATCATTTTGACTCATTTTCCCTCTTCCTTTTAAAGTTTAAACCAAACCGCCATTTGAATTTTAAAATACTGAGTGCGGAGTATCATATGCGGAGTAATTTATGGTTTGTTTGCAAAGAACATTTTTTATTGGTGTTTATATTTTAAAATATTTCTAAAATAAATTAATTATAAAAATACTAAAACACAAAGTGAAATTTGCACTAAATAGGGCTAAAACATAATGACTTTCCAAATGTAGGACTTAAACTTTTTTATTCCCTAAATAGGACTTAATAATGACCTGGTGGAAGGAATAATGTCCAGTAATGATGGACATTTAGTTGAATAATGACTACTTGTTAATGACCAAAGGTCCTACATTGGGAAATAAAAACATATGGTCCTATATTGGGAAAGTCATTATGTTTTAGTCATATTTAGGTAAATTTCTCAAACACAAATTACCGCTAGAAAAATTTTCTAAACATTAAACTAAATAGTGAAGTCTTTTTAATAAGGTAAATAGTGAATTTAATGTCAAACGAAATGCATGATGGGAGAGTCCCCAAATAATACTATAATAGTGAATGAGTACGAAAATACTAAAATAGAAGTTTTAGTTTTTTAAGACTAATTAAATAGGAGTTTACACTCTAATTGAAAAGAAACTAGCACATTGTCATCCCATAGTGTTTGTCATGTTTTAATTTTTTACAATCAATATGAATCAATATTTAACCTATAATTTAATATAAAAAATATATTGATATAAAAATATTCAATTTTTACAAGATAAATTTAATAAAATAATTTTTGCATTAAAATTTAATTTCC